TATACAATATATACTATATATAGTTATATTATAACTATCTATATAACTATATAACTATATATATAACTATTAGAACTATATAACTAACATTCATTTCAGCCCAGGGAAGCATTATTTCAGGGCTATCACGTTTGACTCCTTGCAGATTGCAACCAGAAGGGGTTTAAGCAGAGTAAAGAAGTAGCCTTTATAAACCGGTACTCTAGTGACCTCCTTCTTGGTACCTCTTTTTCTTGAGTGACTTATTCATCAGGTGGCTCTGGGTATGATGATCTCAGACAGGATCGTGTAAACTACAAAGCTTTTAGAGAAAAAGTATGGCTGCAAGTAGCAGGTCTGAAAGCATTAGGTCTGACAGCCTTGAGTTGGGCTGTGCATTCACAGATTGTCTGGAGGCACGAAACTGCCTCTGTATAGGAAGCACTGCGAGTGGACACATCAGACCTATTGCAAGTGCAATGTATAGCTGATATCTACAAGATGCCTTTTAAGATGCGCCAGTCTTAGTGCGTATTGGGCAATGCATACCAAAGAAGTAGAGTTGTTCTAGACACGTACAGTGACCATTTTCTGGGACTTCCAGATATCCGCTAAGTCTGTGCCCAGAGCAGGAAGGCAGCAAGCTATACAGAAATATCATCAGGATGCAAATAGATGTCTTGATTAATAAATATGCCAGAGAATTTTGCAGACTACTTGTGGATGACTTGCAAACAACAGAAGAAATATACCATGAGCAAAATGGAATGATTTGTTTTGCCTAAATTTAATGCTGACCTGGGGGGTTTGCATGGGAATGTCAGCTCCCTAGTTTTAGTTTCCCTTATGGGCAGTGATGAAAGAGGCAGATACTTCCATGGGACAATTCAGAACATCAACATTACATTCCTGCCTTGAAACCCTGTCTAGAGGGTTTGTCCATTTTCCTGAGGAATTAGGGAGACCGATCTCTTACTTAGGTAGTTAAATTAGATTGTAAATAAACACATATAGTTCAAATTGTTCATTTAGCTATAATTAAGAGACTATTGTTCATTTAGCTATAATTAATTTTCAATATCCTGCTGCTGTGGTTACATAGGCTTTACACTATGGTGTTGCATCAGGGATGCTATCCTTCTGCATTAGGAGAGACTGAGGTCTGTCTGCCTAATTATACCAAACTCATGAGTGCAGTTTTAATGTTGGGAACATCTTGTGTGGCTGCCTTTTGCACCTCAGGTCAAAGGCTTTGATTGAAGGCTGCCATGCAAAAGACCTCAAGTCTTCTTGGACTGGCACTAACACTTTAGAGTCCAGACATGAGCTGGAAAAGAATACAGCTAGCAGAAATTTGCAAAAAGAGCTACTTCGATAATTTTGCTTGTGGTTTGAGTGCTGTGTACCGCTGTTAGTTATAAATTGAAGCTCACCAGTTAGTATGCCTGCTCAGAAACATATATATAATCAAATTGGTAAGGGAAACTGTTGTCTGTGTGTTCTTTTTAGCCTGGAAAGGAAAAAAAAATTATCCTAGAAGCGTTGACATTTTTAAGAACTGGTTTTGGCCATAGCTAGCAACACTTTATGGACACAGCAGCAATTCCACATAAAACATGCATGCCACTAAATCAGGGCCAGATCA